GACACAGCCCTCCCCAATTTTTATCTGGGCTTGGGACCGGCACTGGGAGTGCACTGTCTTGTGCAGTGGCGGGGGTTGGTTCCCTGGCCGGGAATCGAACCCAGGCCACAGCAGTGAGAGTGCAGAGGCCTAACCACTAGTTCTCCAGGGACCCAGGGAACAACTGTTTATAGCTGCTATAATTTAAGTGATAACAGGAACTAACTTGTCTCACGGACATTCCACAACATTGTATGTAGCTATAAACTGATAAAAAGCATGAGGTGTTGTTCATTAAAAAATGAAAGATTGTAGTCATTGGCAAAATGCTATGCTATAAGAACAGTAAAACACTTCAGGACGTTGTCGGAAAATAATCCACTTCAGGGTGGTAGCAGTAACTCTGCTTTGCATCAAGCTGCATTACATGAGCACATTGATTGTTTTTCTATCACAGCACACCCCAAGTGTTTTTTTTATTTCTCACGTATTCCAACTGCAATTTCTTCAGCTTCTTCTTTATGCAGTCTGTGTGATTCAGTTTCGGTCTATTTAAATGAATATGAGCTGGGTTGTCTTTCTGCTCAGTATTAATGTTTCTAGTTGTTTGAAAGCCATGGGTCTCAATGTCAATTTCCTATTCTCTCATAAGACCTTCATCTGACTTAGCATTTCATTTTCTGTCCACGCTTGAAACTAAAGTAGCGTCTGATTAGTTTTGGGATGACATTTTCATACCCCCATCATTACTATGATTTAAGCCTCCTGTCTAATTTTCACATTTTCTCAGTGCACTCTTATTATAAGTGAGGCATTTATTCCATATTTCTCATCGCCTATTAATCTATGAATGAATAAATACATAAATTATTGTCAGAAGGTCCAGCTATCAAGATCCATTTTTAATCTAGAAGTTAGGTTTGATGTTTAATGTTCTTTTTCTTTAAAGGTTGTTATGCATAAACCAAGCAGCTAAAACTAGTCACATCCACCAATAGCAGTGCTTCTTATACAGTATCAGTAGGTTGTACACCTGAATGAATGAAATTTATGCCATGTGTGATTATTTTTCTATAACAGCATGCCCCGTTGTGTTTTATTCCTTATATGAATAAATAGCTTTGTCATATTTCTCCTTTAATGGTGTCATTTTGCATTGTGAGAAATTCAGTTGATAGTATTAATTCATTTATTTATTAGATTATTTTGTTCTAGTGCTTGCAGTTATGCCTAGAATATCTTTTTCTTTATGTTTTGGAGAGCAACATGCATCACGCTGTAGTGGCCAGTAAGGGTTTTTGTGAAGGAAGTGTGATTCAGAGTTATAGTGATGTGCCGGGAGCTATGATTTGTAGCTGCAGCAAGGTCTTCTTTTCTCCCGTTCACAGGCAGACTCCAGCTCTGTTAACTCCATGATATGAGCTGTTAGGACAGTGCACTGTTATTTTGACAATGCTATAAAGCCATCGGCTCCGTAGAACTGTAAATAGTATCACTATATTCAGCCTGGCGTTTTCGTAGAAGTGCTGATACTTCTGCAATGTTTTTATTGTGCAAACAGTCAAATCTGCAGACACATTTTTCCCATCCGAAGTTCACACCTTGTACCATACCTCTGTCGAATTCTCAAGTCTGATTGGCTGATTAAATTTTGATGACAGGAGCTCTGAAAATAGTTCCGGCTGCAAGGTTTATATTAATGGCGCTCACTCTGATACATTATTGTTTCTATAGTAACGACGCAGACTTTCCACATGAATTAAGTCTGATAATAAATTGTTATTTAACAATGAAAAATGTTTAATCGTTGATGTAGTGAAGCTTTCTGTAAGGACATGTTTAATATTTATGGAAGGAGTCTCCGGTACTTTGTAAGCACTTTGTAATGGTCAGTAAGGTTTCGGAAATTGGCAAGTCTTCACGATAGACGGGTTTACACTTTTCAGTAGCGTGAAAAGCCGCTTTCTCTTATTAACTTCAAGTTCGACTCTTTATAGCTGTTATAATGTAATTGATAACAGGAACTTTTTTCTTGGACGTTCCCCAACATTAAATGCAACTATACACTGATAATATGATATGTGATTGAATATTTGCCAACAATTAAATAAACAAAAGTTGGCAAAGAAATAAAACACTTAGCAGTGTGCCATTATTGTAAAATAATCAACTTCGGGGTGGGAACAGTAACAGCAGTTTATATAGGGCCGCATCACACAACCTTGTCCTTGATTTATTTCCTTTTAAGTAGCATCAGGTAAGATTACTCTTTATGTATTTTTTTTTTTTCAAGATTTGGTGGGTTCAGCGTTTGAATAATTCACACCCATGTTCCCGATGTTTCATCCCCAGGATTAGGGTGGTCCATAGAGTGTCTATAAAATGACTGACAGCAGGCGCATCCAAACACAAACAAGCATTCCATACTGGAATTCAGTTTTCCGAATGGATTTTCTCAGCCACATAATACATTTGTCCTGACATCAACTTAAATTGTTATTTTATTATCACGTTCTATATATTTTGCAGGTTATTTGTACAAGCAAGGATAAAAAAAATGACTACTGCACCTTTAAGAGCATACCCCATCTTGTTTAACTCCTTACATAATGTACATTGCAGATACTAAAGGAGTAAACATGTTAGTTGCAGACGCATGCTTTCAGACTGGCTGACTGATTTGTCTTTCGTTACCTGATCTCAGGCACATGGCAGTGACAATGAAATCTCCAATGCTATTTGAGCTGCACTTTCTGTCCAGCGACTGTCTCATTGTGACAGCGTGGGAACTTCTGAGAAAGCCTTACTGCTTCACTGCTACAGCACAGATGATTGTGAAAAGAATTATTGTTCGAAAATGACCTTCCAGCTGAAGTTAGCACTAATACAGAGTGCTCTTAGCAAACATCTTGTAACGATTTAAACACAGTGAAGTGGATGTTGACCAGTATGATGTTTTATAACTAGTTCAGCAGGCAGGAGTGGTATTTCAGGCACAATTTATAACAATATTTGAAGCATCAGAGCTTCACTTTCTCTTGAGTAGAGTAGCAGAGCTTTACCTGACTAGATGCACTTCATTTTTATTTATTTTTTCAAAGAATATTCATTATTAAGCCTGTTATGTAAGCCTATTCATAAATACAATGCTCTTTATCTGGATTTAAAGGATCTGATACTTTTGGTTTTTAAACTGGTGAGCACTGATTGTTAATAAATAACACTCAAAAGCCTACTGTGTGGTTTTTTAAAAATTATTTTTAAGATTTCAGTCAGAAAACTTGCCTGAAAACTGACATGCCATACTAAGTCCATACCAGAGTTTGACATCAGTGACATCAGATCTTTTTCATTTCGTTTCGGCTAGTTTCACATTGCAGTGATTTTGCAGTGTTGCTTCATTGGTCAGAAATTAGCCAGGGTGTGCTTTGATGGACACTTCTTATTGCTTCTCATTAAGGTTGTAGATCATACAAGTGCGTTTTCATTAGACAGCATCTAGAACGCTATAATAGTGTGCCAATTTCCAATCATTTCTGATGTTTCTACATGTGCTTAAGGAGCTATTGTAGACACATTCATCAGGATATTATACTACTTAAAATATATTTAAAGCATTTAAAGGAGAGCAAATTTCTGTGCATTGTTCTACGTGTGTTTTGGAAATAATACATTAATTTATTTACCAATATTAACATATTTTGAATTTTACTGATACTACAGAGCGCTTGGTGTCCATCATCCTCTGTGGTTGTACATCCTCTGGTTACCGCAGTGCGTTCAAATGTTATTCGAGCCGAAAAGTCCTATTTTGAAAATGAAAATAACTTTATCTCAGTGTTCGAAGTGTTCAGTCCGTTTCATGTCATTTAGGTTCAGGAACTTCGCACCAGTAATGACCTGAATTGGGATTCACTTTGATTTTTGGAGGACCTTTTTTTTTTTTTTTTTTTTTTTTTTTTTTTTTTTTTTTTTTTTTTTTTTTTTTTTTTTTTTTTTTTTTTTTTTTTTTTTTTTTTTTTTTTTTTTTTTTTTTTTTTTGTGTCTGTCCAAATAGAACAAACTAAAGAAAGTGTTTTCCAAGTCTGCTGTAAGCAGGGTAGGTGTGTAAGAGTGTTTAAACTACCTATCACAGCTTCCCTAAGGTTTCTTACACCTCTGCCCTTGCTTTAATATCATATCTAATGTTTTCTAAACTTTAATTGATAGAGAGACATGCTTTGTAGGTACTCTATGTCAGAAGCTAAGCCATACAGCTTATATCAGAGGAATATCCGCTTCAAGCCTTTTCTCTGCATTTGAATGATTCACTCTTGTCTTGACTGAGTGCCATTTTTATTCTTTGAATGCCTGCAGCAAATCCTGTGCTAAAACGATATCCAAAGAGAATTGGCTTGTTTTTGAAAAGAGATCTGTTCTGAAGTTTTGCGCTGCACCTCTGCTAGCATTGAAAAACGGAGCTGGCGAAGCGACGCGCTTCAAGTCAAGCAGCCATGTCGAGTATGAGTCCCCAAACGTGTTCAAGCATAGCCATTACTCAGGAAAGAGCTATAATACAGCGATTACGCCTGTCTCTGAGCTGCCATGGGGTCTGCAGGAAATAACACAGGGGTTAGGGTTTGGGTACAAATTGATTTTTGTTTCATGGTGCTGCACGTGAGGTGTAATGAGACACTCTTAAGCCACCAGCTTGTTTTAGGGAACAGCATGTGTGAATCTGTCAGGGCTGCTGAAGCCGTTAATAATGTTTAAGGACGACTGCTTCTCTATTATATTGATATTGTTTTGCAATGAAGACGATGATTGGTTTTCTCTTATTCATACCATGTATGTTTTTTTGTGGTTTAAATGAAATTTCAGTTAAAATTGCCATCACAAAAATATTTTTTAATACTACATTTTCATAATGAATAATATATAGGTTTTTTTTATTATTCTAACAACCGTATGGTATCAGTTAGTGATGCAGAATAAGAATCAAAGTTCCCTGAACTGAAATTCAGGACTGAAAAAAAAAGGTGGGAAGTAATGGCTCAGTGGTTAAGGCTTTGGGCTACAGAGCAAAAGGTTGGTAGTTCAAATCCCAGCACCTCCAAGCTGACACAGCTGTGTCTTTGAGCAAGAAGACTTTTAACACACAGCTGCTCGCTCGTATCCTGTATCAATTTTCATGATTATAATTGATAGCAAAAGTCACTCTGGATAAAAGAGTCAGCCAAATCAGTGCTGGATTTTCTTGCATAAATGGTTGAGAATGTATTCTTAAACTGATTAATTTATGCTTAATTTGAAAGCAGGCAGTTTTTCTGCCACGTTTTTGGCATTTTTACTTTCTCAGCTGAAAACTGGCCTAAAATTGTTGCTGGCCGAAATTTTAGTGCATCTCTAGTTTCAGTATCTTTTTCTCCAATGAAAGATTCGTCTGAAATATGTAAGTCGACGAGATATTGTGCAGGTTGAAATTTGGATTGACAGGCCTAGCTGGCAGCATGTGACACGTCCTGTATGCAAGCTTTGCTTTGGGAATATGTTACGATGCCCCTCTGTGAGCGCACACCTTCTTCAGGAAGACTGCTAGGCATTGATTAAAAAGCTTCATTGGCTCAGAGGAGCTGACAGCAGTGCACTGTACCTATACCACAATATCCTACACTATCAATCCACCATGCTGACCAGATCTCAAAGACAGTGGATGGAATAATAAAACTAGAAATGGATGCTTTAACTTCGCCTGTATACAATTGATAGTGTGATGGTGATAACGCACTTCTGGGTCATTATTATCCATACTGTAATTTGTGTTGCCATGCACAAAAAGTCCACATGCTTCTCATAAATCCTGAAATTAGGCCAGATCTCTTTTACCAACCACATACAGAGCAGCACAAATTGAGTCTGTAACTAAAATTGGTGTATTATTTGGAAAAAAATAAATCTAGTAACGTTTTCTATAAAGCCCATATTCATAAATTATTATTAATTATGCTTATAATTCTTTGTAAGTTGGTAATGAAACTCTAATAATGCCTCATACAGCTCTAGTTATGTGCTATAGGCATTCATATATTTTTAGAAACAAAAAAACCCAACCTTTTTGTAAATGTCCTTTTTTATTATTTTGACATTAAATTTGTTAAAATGCAATAAGATAAGATGAGGTGAGATAAGATAAGATAAAATGCCATAGATCCCAAAGGAAATGTTTCCATATTTCATTACAAAAATAAAGTTTATATATTCTACAATTTAATTATAATGAGGAATATTTTAATATCATTCAGTTTAATTGAAGCATCTAGTGATTAAATATTTAAAATATTTCTAATGTTTATTGTCTTTTAATTGTTAATAAATATTATAGTGGCTTTATAATTATTCACAGGTTATTACACGTTATGAAAGTTGTGCTGAATGACACACACACACACACACACACACACATACATATATACATATATTATGTGTGTGTGTGTGTGTGTGTGTGTGTGTGTGTGTGTATATGTATATATGTGTGTGTCATGTTGATTGTGGCATGGATGTTGGTACCAGAAGGTCTGGCTTGAGTATCTTCTGGGATTTTCACGCACAACAGTCTCTACAGTTTACACAGAATGGTGCGAAAAGCAAAAATAAATAAATAAACATTGAATAAGTGACAGTGGAAATGTCTTGTTGATAAAAGAGGTCAGGGGAAAATAGCCAGATTGGTGGATTGATTGGTGGAAGGATTGGCGATGAGCGAGATCAGAGGAGAATGACTAGATGGAAGTCTACAGTAACTCATATAAACACTCTTTACAACCATGGTGAGCAGAAAAGCATCTCAGCATGCACAAAACATCGTACCTTGAGATGGATGGGCTACAGCAGCAGATGACTACATTGGGTTCCACTCCTGTCAGCCAAGAACAGGAATCTGAGGCTATCATGTGCACATGCTCACCCAAACTGGACAGTTGAAGATTAGAAAAAACTATCACCTCGTCTTTTTCCAGTCTGTGAGTCTGTGCCCATGATAGCCTCATATTCTTGTTCTTGGCTTACAGGAGTGAAACCTGATGTGGTCTTCTGCTGTTGTGGCTCATCCACCTCAAGGTTTGAGGTTGTTGTGCGTTCTGAGATGCTTTTCTGCTCACCACGGTTGTAAAGAGTGCTTATTTGAGTTACTGTAGACTTCCAGTCTAGTCATTCTCCTCTGGTCCCTCTCATCACCAAGGTGTTTCAGGCTCCAGCCCCTCCAGACCCTATATCTGTTCAGATTTCTATCGTTAGATTTGTACACGTGTTTAGCAAGTCGAACTTCACTGAGAAGTGTGTGTGGTGTGAGAGAGAGAACAGGCTGTCAGCCTCCTCTTGATGAGTTTCGGTATCAGGTATCTGTTTGGGAAAAAAAAAACATATTATGGGATGTTGTTAAAGACTATGGTGATGAAGAGTAACTCATGTAAGTAGAGGATAAGACCATATATGGAAATAGGAGGATTCGTGTATCACTTCTTACATACCAGTGTCTAGTCCAAAGTCCTTTCGTAGAGCTCTGAGGTAAGGTAAGAGGGGCTGCCCAGGCTCGTGATTAAGTACTTTTGTGATTGTCATGCATTGATGATCATGTTTTAACATAGTGACACCCCATGTATTATCCTTACATGGTCTTGTTCCTGAGTTACATAACATCCCCTTCATCATCTTAGTCTTTCTCTCTGCATCCCATGATAGTTGTTTTCCTTACAGAATGTAAACTTCAACTTACTGCATTCTTCCATCTTTTCCAGTGCAGCTTGACCTCACCCATACCCTTGAGACTTGGAGACAGGAACTACTCTACAAGTCTACATGCACATACAGCAGATAGTAAAAGAACATCTAATGAATCTTTAGCCAAATCAAGTGAACAGCATGTTCATCTGTTTAATTTTAACACAAGCATTGGGAGTGGGATTTAAAAAAAAAAAAAACAACCTCTACTGCACCTGATATGTGCAATAAATGATGATGGTACGCCTGTAAAAATATTGCCCTGAATCATTATATATTAACCTGGAGTTGAGAATAACATGGCAAATTGTTGGAAACGGTGTTGTATATTCAGCCACTGTATGATATTACTTAATAAAATGTTATTAAAGCACTGAAAGGCATTGCTAAAGCACATTAGCCCTATATTGAAGCCCTCGAGCACTCATTTGGTTAGAAAGCGTGCGATGAATTAATAATCTCCAGATGTGAGCTTGGAGCTGCTCTAGATATACAGTAGTATATTTTTTTTGAAACACAAAACAAACTACACTGCAAAAATTGCTATTATTAATGTATTTAGTCCGGTTTTATATTGAGAGGACATTTGTTTGACTTTGATGCTAAAAGCCTGTTGCCGTGGGAACGTTAGAACGGACTGTTGAGTTTTGTGATCAGGTTCATTGCAGATCAGTGCGTGGGATTGAATTATCTCCGAACTCTGACAGTATCATTCACTCACACACTAATTACAATGAGCCAATGACTTTATGTCCACATTGCATATTTTCCTTCAGTTTGTATATTACACAGATTGTTTTATGTACAACCCCTGGCAAAAATTATGGAATCACCACACTTAGAGGATGTTCACCCAGCTTTTTTACTTTATAGCAAACAAACAAATCACAGATATGACGCA